CCAGTCTTTTTAACTTTTTACCTAACACGCATAATTTATTTATTTATTTTCCTGAATCCGTTAACTTGCAAGTTCACTGGGGTTTGAAGAAGAAAAAAAAAAAAAAAAAAAAGAAAGTGCCTGCAGATACTCCTGGCCGTTTCCTGTGAGTGCAGGTTTCCTTAACAGGTAATTCGTCCTTCTAAGCCTCGGTGTTGGAGAAGAAAGTGGTGAGTTGTCTGCGATCTTGGCAAAGCTTGCGGCACCTCTCCTTGGTAGGCAGAGCTCTGGTGATCTTTTTTTTTTTTTTTTTTTACTACGTCAGACTTCAGAAAATTTCAGAAAACCGACTCAAACCCCCCCATCAACCCTCTTTAGAGTCTTTACCACACTCCGCCAAGACTCTGGTGATCAACTCGGCTGCCTTTCAGCTTTATGGTTCGTGTTGGCAGTACATCTGTCGGGAGATTTGGCATATAAAAATATTAGGAAAACAGCAGCTAGTGTTCTCTGGAAGCCGGAGGGCAGTCCTCAGAGTGGCTTCATCTCAAAAATCGCTTGCCAATGGGAAACAATCACATTCCCAAGAGGTGAGGGGGGCCTGGGGATCCTGGATCCCATCAGACAGAACTGTTCCATTGCGTTGCTTGCCAAATGGCCCATAAAGGCACTCACAGCTGATATAGATGCACCTTGGCTCAGACTAGCCATTTACCTGCTGAGAGGAGAGTGGGTCTTCGGCAGAGACGAAGACGTGTTAGCATGCCTTTTGATTACTAGATCTTGCGTGGACAAACAACCAAAATCGAAGTTTTGGAAGGATGTTTTAGGGGCCTGGGGGAAAGTCCTCCCGACCTCCCAATACTAGAGACTCGGTGCTCAATCAGATTATTTTTGAGAATCCGCTCTTTTACTTGATAGTGGGGGGAGAGAGTTTTCTGTGCAGGACGGCCCTGGCTGCTTTGGCAAGTCTTGGATCGAAAGGGGAATAATTGTAAGGGTTAAGGACATATGGGACAAAGAAAAAGAAGACTGCAGTCCGCTTCACAAGGTTAAATGCAAACTCTCTAGATTGAGAAAGGTCCGGCTTAGATTGTCACAAAAATCCATCAAGCCATTCCGGCCTCATGAATCGCCCAGGCTGTTAAAGCAACAGCAAGGTTTGCCGGTTGGACTCAGGATGAAGCCGTTATCCCGGAACAGTACGGTGTACCCACCCGATCACAGATGACCTGGGGGAGGAAGGCTGGGTGGCGAAAGAATGGCAGGCCATGGACACCTTTGACTCAGATACCCAACTCCTCTCTCGCCTTCTTTCATTGGATGGATATCAGGAAGTAGCAGTCAGTTATCATCTTAGACTAACGAAAAAGAAAGGAGCCAGAGAAGCTACTGGGATTGCACATCTCCCCATGGGCCGGCTGCCCCTGGCCCAAAAGACAGTGGATACAAGGACTGTTGCCAATGGCTGGTACGTGAATACAAAGCTCAAAAGATTAAGCTTGGATGACTTCTCCTCAACCTTTTTTTTTTTTTCTTCTCCTCAACTTTTTTTTTTTTTTTTGGGTAAACCGCCCAAGATAATGCGTTTTTTTTTTTTTTTTTTTTTTTTTGGTAAACAGCCCAAGCTAATGCTAGGGGTGCTGATAGGAGCAGGCACCACTAGCACTCTCGGGGAGGCTCCTCTAACTTAAAGGTGGGCGTTGCCCTTCTCAGGTCCAAGGTCCAAAAAAAATCCATAGGCTTCAGTAGCAAAACGAAGGGCGGATGCTGATCTCTTTTTGCTTATGATCGCAGACGACCACCTGCATTCTCTACGGAACCAGTTCAAGCCTCAAGGAAATGCCATCTCAAAAATTGGCCAGTATTGCATGGCTTCAGACTTGCCTCACTGCATCCTCCGCGCTCATCTTGGCAAAGAAAGGAATGAAGGTGTCCACTATCTGTGTAAGATGTAGATGGCCATGGGAAAATAACAGACACCTGTGGCTCTCTTGCCCAGCCTCATGCCAGTGGAGAATTTGGGATTGGTGGATCCGGCATTGGAACAGGTTAAACTTTACCAAAGCCAAAAAAATTCAATGGACGGACATTGTCAAATGGATTTTGTCAGGGATTCACAAATAGAAACTGCAAACATGAACAAGACTGGCTGTACGTAGTAGCTCAGAACAGAAGAGTCAATTTGATGAAAATTATATCGGATAATCCGAATAATCACTGACTGTGACAGCTGTTTTTCAGATCCGAGGGCTGTTCCCAGTCCGACGAGAAGGTGAAGGGGTTGGTAGCCCTTCAGATCTGATTCAGACTGATAATCAGAAGTGACTGTATCAGATGGAAAAAGTTCCAGGCTCTCAGAAGTGAAGGAAATGGTTTTGGCCCTTTTGGGATACTTGGGGGAGGGACTCCACATTAGTAGTTAAGCTGGACTCTGGTGGTAGGTTGCAGTTCTGTCACTGGCTGTTGTCCACCGTGGGACATGGGGAGCGCTTTAGATCGCCCTCCCCCTCCCATTTGACTGACCTTGGGGAAGGGAATCGGGGGGAGTAAGGGCTGCCTGGACATCTCCTTTTTTCTATTTTTGGAGGACTTTTATTTGGTTCTGAAGGGGTCCAGTTTTTCTATTTTTGGAGGACTTCTGTTTGCCAATGGTTCTTTTTTTTTTTTTTTTTTTTTTTTTTTTCCAAACAAAGCCCCGCCGGGCAAGGTCTCTATCCCGGTGGTGGTAAGAGAACCACGGGAATTGAGGCTTCGCCAGTCGGGCTGCTCCATCTATTGGTGGGGAGCATCACCTGCTGGAAACCGGGTCAGCCTCCCTTTGATGCATCATCTCAGCAGTATCATTGTTGGAACTGTGGCCTTGACATTTCCCAGCCTTGAGCACTGACTTTCCCTCGGGGTCCAGTAGCTCTGGCTGGGGTGTAGCTCCAGCCTTTATCTCGGTATGTTGTAGGCAATGTAGGGTTTCCCAGCGGGCCCGGTTCCTTTATTTGCAATAAAAGTTATCGTGGTTAGTGTGAGGTGAAAGGCGAAAAAGAATTTGAGAGAAGAACATAGTGAAGGTTTAAGAAAAAAAAAGAAAGAAATTGAGAGAAGAATATAGCTTTAGAAACAACAACAACAACTGAAAATCTTCTATCCTAATTATATATACAGTCTGTAGAGTTTTCCATCTGGTGTGGGTGAGTGATAGTCTACTTTGATTTTGGTTAAGGTAGATTATCATTTACAGTGTAATCAGTGAGGGGATTCTGCAGACTGTTGAGAGTTCAGCCTCCTGATGAGTCGGTGAAACTCCSACGAAACAGTTTGTCACAGCCCCTCRTTTGTTGTCCTCTTCTCYCTCTCTGCCTACGGTTTACCGGGCAGTTCTATTTGACGATATATATATATATATATATATGTATATATGTATATATATATATATATATATATATATATATATATATCGTCAAATATCCAGTGGGCCTATGGCCAATCCCACCCTCTTTTGGGATTAGTCATACCCCCAATGGATAGAAAGGATTTTGGCGAGAAGCTTTTCCTTTGGACCGGCATGCCCAGTGAGTGTTAAGGAGAGGAGGAGGGGAACAAAGATCTCCCTACTTTCTCGGGTAATACATGTAAAATACTGACCATGGGATCACTCGCGAGTACTGCACGGCAGGATTTAGGTCACTCAACTGCCACGCGAACTCTTTTCTATCCTCTTTCTATAAAAAAAAAAAGACAAAAAAACAAAAAGAAAAAAGGACGACGGCCTTGAGATATTATCATTGAGCTGACCGGCCCCAAGCAATACGTTAGTAGTTGATTTTACTCATCAATCAAGTTCCATCATCTGGATTCGAACACAGCACCTGGTCTGTATTTCAACAGTTCATTGGTGTACCCACTGAGATAGGCTCTTGGGTTCTTTTCTATCCTCTTCCCACGCACCTCGTGTGCTTGTGCTTTCGTGTTTTTTTTTTTTTTTTTTTTTAAATATACACATCTAATATCTTGTCGCCCTTGTTGTGCTTTTTCTTCCTAAGCAAAAGAAACAACTTACATTCCTTTTTTTTTATTTGAACCATTTCTCATTTTATGCTTGTCATCCTTGCGCAGGGCTATGCTTTTTTTTTTTTTCCAATGCTAATCTTCTCCGTATCGTTCCAATTCTGACGGATGTCCCGCAGAGCAGAAACAAAGAAGAACACGACAAGCACCGACCACCGGTACAGATCAACGAATGAGGCAGCCGTATACCATTTTTAGTATTTTTTTACCAACAGCAAAGAAAAAGGACACCTTCTACAATTCCCGATCATGCAGGACTTTTTTGAATAAGCTCTGGACGTAATCGAGGTCAGATACATACAGGACAGCGCGTAGTTGCGGTCAGATGCACACTCACGATCTTAGTGTGAGTGTGCCCTGCGTGCTCTGCCCTTGCTATCCGTGCTTGCTTGAGGGATATCTTTATCTCGTAATTCCTCTCATTATCTGCATACATATTTAGTATTATTTACGAATACTATTTATGAAATCAATCATCAGCATCAGAGTCTCGTTGCTATTTAGGATGTAATGTTGGTGAACTCGACAGTCGAGGGTAGATATAGAATGTTGAACACAACGGTCGGGGGTAGATATAGAATGTTGAACACAGAACCGCTCCGACTCGATGGTAGAAGTAGAGGACTGAACACGGAACCGCTTGCCAGGTTGGATGCCAGCCAATGATCCAACAGATAGGGAAAGCAGTGAGTGTAATACGACTCACAGCTTCCCTTTTTATTTTTTATTTTTTTGGTTTACCCCTCTGAACCCTGAGTGCAAAATTTCCAAGACACGACTCTCCATCCATTTTGGCAAGACTACTGACGTTTCCCTTTCGAAGTAGGAGATGCTAGATAAAAAAATAAAAAAAACCTATTTCGATCCAAAGCCACCAACACCGTAGAAAAAACGTCGCGAAACTGCGTATCCCCATCTGCAAGCAATGCCATGCAGTGGCATGCACGTATGTCCAGGTACTTCTGCATCTTCGTTCATTTGCATGCAATGCCATGCAGTGGCATGCACGTATGTCCAGGTACTTCAGCATCTTCGTTCACAGTACTTTGTACTGGAGAACAAAAAGAGATTTAAAAAAAAAAAAAAAAAAACAAAAAAAAAAACCTATTTCGATCCAAAGCCACCAACACCGTAGAAAAAACGTCGCGAAACTGCGTGTATCCCCATCTGCATGCACAAAAACAGAGGGCAGTGAAATCCGTTGAAATTGGTTTTCTACAGAGAAGGTTTGTTTGCATGACCCTTGCTTGCACAAGGATGACACGCATGAATCGAGAAATGGCGGAAAAAAAAAAAAAAAAAACAGGGGTAGATCAGCGAAACGTCACGTTCAACAATAACGACAGAACAATACGAAAATGAAAGTTAAAAAAAACGGTTTTCATAGAGAAATAACTCCTTTCCTACTCCTCGGACGAGATGAAAGGAAACTGAACACGAATTTCAACGTTCAAGAAGAGTGTTGAACGTTTCTACCTCTCTTCTTCCCCACTTGAAGGCATCAAAAGCCAAGTTCAGTTAGTCGTGATTCTGAACACCATCTCAAGTTATGAACCATGTAAGCGAGAGAGAGCACCTACCGTTCCCAAACCTACAGTTACGAAGCGGATCTCGAAGGGGTAAGTAAAGAAAGAGAGCCTTGAATGCAAGGCCAAAAATCGATAAGTGCAGCCACGTCAGATGAGAGGGGCTATCATCTGCAAGCTCTACCAGTCTAGCCAAAGTTCCACCATCAATGAATGATCAATGAATCATCAATGAATCATCAATGAACCATCAATAAACCAAACGATGAATGAACCATCAATGAAGCATATCCATAAACCATCCCCCCAAAAATCAATAAGTGCAGCCACGTCAGATGAGAGGGGCTATCATCTGCAAGCTCTACCAGTCTAGCCAAAGTTCCACCATCAATGAACGATCAATGAACGATCAATGAACCATCAATGAACCATCACCAGTCTAGCCAAAGTTCCACCATCAATGAACGATCAATGAACGATCAATGAACCATCAATGAACCATCAATGAACCAAACGATGAATGAACCATCAATGAAGCATATCCATAAACCATCCATAAAACATCAATTAACCACCGATTGACCATCAATTATAATTATCGTCGTTCTCCACCTCTGTTAAAAATTAATCGACTGACTGAAATTCCTGAAACTCCTTAACAGAGACACTGTTGTTTAAAATTGAGCAGAAGCTAGAGGGGTGACATCGCACGTCACACACTGCTTTTAAAAATTGAGCTTGAGAGGGGTGACATCGCACGTCACACACTGTTGTTTAAAAATTGAGCTGCAGCTAGATGGGTGACATCGCACGTCACACACATCATCTCTATCAAACTTTTACGAGAGACTGAAATTCCGGAAACTCCTGAACCTCTCTCTCTCTCTCTCTCTCTCTCTCTCTCTCGAACACGTATGATTAATAATCAATTAGTCATTGATCTGCTCATCATTCGTAAATGACTGCAGAATGGAGAACCTATCTGTCACTTTTCGCGCAGCCTTTTCGTCTTCGATAGCGAGGAGAGAAATCTTTCTCCACTCACAGTACTTCGAGCAGCCGCGAGAGACGCAATCCCCTTCCTCCACCACCATAGGCCCCGTTTACACACAACGCGGCACCCCACAAGGGAAATAAGGCGGGGCAAGGCGGGACATAGAGTTCCCGCTCTGCTCAGAGGAGATGCCAACGACGACTCAACGGAATCTTGCATCGTGAAGAGATCGTGCGCAGCTACCCAATGCATGCTGGTAACTTGGCATTCTCACGCCCACCCCCCCCCCCCCCCCCCCCCCCCCCCCCCCAATCCCTCGTGCAAGGTATAGACAAACACAGCTTATACTTCTATTATTGAACCAAACAAAGTGATAAGCAGCATGCCTCCCGCGTCGCGTCTGCCATACAAGCGTCGTCATCTACTCGACGTCGTGTTGCATTTCTATCCGATGACGTGTCGGAACATACTCTCCGGAACAAAATGTCCTCCTCATATCCTATAGGCTATACCTTTAACTATCGTTCGAACCCCTCTGGATGGAGACCCCCCTGCTCCGGAAGATCGTCGCTGCCGCTGCAGATAAATACGCATCCGGGTAGACTCCTAGATGTGCCGATGCTACGTAAGAGCTAACGGCTAAACCAACTACAGATGTTGATGCATTAGGAGTACCTATCGATGGAAAAGCTGCTTTCGGCGCTGAAGAGCGAAGGCGTGTAGAAGTCAGAGCTCCTGGAGTTAATTTAATTACTATTTCAATGTAAATCTGTGCATGAATGAATCAATAGCGTTGCAAACACGACTGAAAGCGGTGAGGTGGATAGTCTTGACCCAATAGGTCGTGCCGATCCCGACGCTCCACAGTTCATCAAAATCACGTCACTCTCTTTCGACTGCTTCTCACGTCTTCCAGAGACTGCAACAATACCCAGCGCGTCAGGTCAGGTCACTGTGTCCGCTGCAAGAGACAACCCATCGGCAGCAGCGGGCATCACTCGCAGTCCATGATCCCGTCTGCAAATCAAACCCAGCTAGCGGAAGCACTCCGCCGCCGCCATCACGACCTGCTGCCTGTCATGAAATGTATTGCTTGCTTGAACCGAGCGTGCATAGCGAGGACGACAGACGAGTCCCATCACGTACTACACCCGGTCGCAGCAGCAGCAGTCTACCTGGTTGCAGGTCCGCTGCCGGCAATTTTATCAATACGCTGCGTCTCACTGTATCGACTGCTCACCAGCGGAGTCGTAATTACGTAAGCTTGCGGTACGGGATGAAATACACAGAAAGGTCACTCAGTGTGCGGCAAGTTCCATCGCGTACACAGCCTTGCAGCATAACTCCACTCCCGCAATTACAACAAGCTGGCTCTCAAAACGAGCGCGTCGATCAGATATGCAGATGAATTTGTTTTGTTGCTCACTGGGACGAAGAAGGCCGTAGAAGGCACCGACTGCTTATAGCCTCGACTTACCCAAACCGACAGAGTATACAGTGAGGACGATAGCAGACGAGTGCACCAACGACGCATCCCTGTAGACAAGCGCCCCACACCAAGTCACCACATACACCGGATACTCTCTCACCCAGCAAGCGAAAGAAAGAGCAACCAGGAACGAGCCTGCATTTCCACTAAGCAACAGGGAACGAGGTCTCTTCCTCCCCTCCTCTTCCTCCTGCAGTGTAATTCCCTCACAAACTAACTACAACACGCCGACCTCGCTCTCACCCCTAAACCTTTCCTTCCGGGCTTCCTCATGTCTACTTAAACAGAAAGATTCCATCACGCTCGCCCATCCTTCCTCCTCCTCCTCCTCCTCCTCCTCCTCCTCCTGCTGCAGTCTGGTTGCCTACAAACTAGCTACAGCAAGCCGACCTCACTACTACCCTTTCCATCACGCTCCGCTTGCCACTCTAGGTCCTCCTCCTCCTCCTCGTCCTCCTCCTGCTGCATTGTGGTTCTCTCGCAAACTAGCTACAGCACGCCGACCTCGCTTTCACCATTTTCCTCTCGGACTTCCTTTCCTAATGCGTACTACTAATAAAACAGATTGGTTCCCCCTCACGCTCGCCACTCGTCATGACGTAAATGAAACAGATTGGTTACCACTTTCCTTTGAAAAGAAAAGGATAAAAAATAAATAAACGAATTCCCCGAAGGGCTACAGGCTGGATCCAGAACGAACCATCCTATCGGCAAGGACATGGGGCAAAAGAAGGAACGTATGAGACAGAAAGCTACCTTGAACGAATTTTGCAGTCAAAAGTCGCCAACTGCGCGCCCCCCCCCGCCGACCCCCCACCTCTTTCCCCCTCCCTTCCTACTGCTTCAGTAATCAACATCTATATCATTCATCCCCTGGACGAGCTCAATCTGTTCTGTACGAGACTCCTAGGCGCGGTAACCATGTCGGCGCCTCTATAAACCTTTCGGCCGTGTACTTGGCCGCCTCTGCAGGCGCAAGCTTTTTCGACCACGATACTCTCTTCGACGTATCTGCTCCAGGGCCAGTGTTCGAGTACTCGTAGAAACTGCAATCTTCGGTATTGGTCGCCTTGTTGCCCTTATACCATGGCATCCAACCCTCCGGCTGTACGTTTCCGATGTAGCAGTTCATGAACACAACGAGAGCGTAGGGGTGCCAAGGGCGCCCGAAGTAGACTCTTCTGTACGGCTGCGGCCGCCCTAGCGACACCGGCACGAGGTTGTCCTTCTCCACATCCACTTTACAGTGACGGAAGACGAATCCAGTTTTCTCGCCCTTCGACGTGCGACCTTGCGCAGTGATTGTGTTATCTTTCCCGCTTTGTCTCTTGCTGATCAGCTCGCAGTCCTCGAACACAGCAGCTGCATTCCCGAATATGTAGTCGACTGTACCATAGATTCTGACGTGCCTGTAGTACTGCCAGCCATTGTGAGCGTACAGAGTGTCCTGATTGGCGACGATGGTGCAGTCGACGACGGCTGCCATGGCGACGCCCATCCCGCCGGAGATCCTCAGCGCCACAGCTTGCTGGACTACCTCCTGCGGCTCCGCAGTGTTCATAATCTTCAGTTTGGTTGCAATGAACCCTCTTCCGAGCACCGTCACGCTGGCGGACCTGGCCGTACCGCCCGCCCTCTTGGCGTAGCTATCGTAAGTCAGCACTGTCGCGTCGCCATCGCCAACGAGAGTGATGAGCCACTTGTCTCTCGGGACCGTGATCTTCTCCTTGTACACTCCCGATGTAACGTGGATGACGTAGCGTTTGCTCTTCCTCATCGACGGCGCCTGATTGATAGCCTCCTGAACGCTCCCGAAGTTGCCGGCTCCATCTCGGCTCACGGTCGCGTCCGGCTTCGTCTCGATCGCAGCTGCGGTGTCGGCGAGCGCCCGCCGCGCAAGCAACTGCCGATTCAACACCTCGAACCACCCCTGCCCCTCCTGGGAAGGCACGTTTCCCCCCACATCCAGCGCATTGGACAGCTGCATTGCCGCGTACTCCGCGTACTTCACCGCCTCCGCCGCCGTCACGTTCACCGACAACGTGAGGTTATCGACCACTCCGCGCACTCCGCCGCCGCTTATGTTGTACAGCACTTCGTACAAGTCATCAGCGCAGTCGGTGTTCCACGTCCTCACCGAACTCAGCGTCGCCATCGCCTCGTCCACGTCTCCCGCTGCCAAAAGCCTCGCCGTCTCGTTCAGCATTTGCGCACTGTCATGAAGGCTCTCGTTACATGACACGGCTGCTTCCAACAGCAGAGAGACGGTGCCGTCGCTGGTCCGGTTATACTTCGCCACGAAGTCGTCGACGATCTGTACAAGGTTCGTCAATGAGCCCGCCGAATCCAGAACCAGCATGACAGGGTACCGAACAGCCGGATCCAGCTTGCTCACCCAGTCTGGTATGGATGAGTTGTAGGCAGAGCTCCCGTTCAACGCTTGGCTGCATTCGTCCTTGAAGGTCGTGGCGGCGCAAAACGCCATAGCAGAAGGAGCGGCTTCCTCCTTCTTGGTGCTGCCACTCTTCTTGTTCACGAAAAGCGCAAGGCAGGCAGAAAATGCCACAACCACAACGATCGTCGAGATCGCTACGCTGATGCATACGCAGCGATTCCTTCGCTTCTTCCGTGCAGGATGGAGTCGAGTCGTTGTCGAAACCATAGACTCGTCTGCCCCTCCAACGGCAATGAAGTCCTTCTCGTCGTAGTCTGGCGATGAAATCGCCATGGCTGCCTCCTTCAACCTCTTTCTTTCCTCCTTTTCCTCTCCCTGTCCGTCTTCAGTGCTTCTCCTCCGCTCAATGCACGCACACGCGACGGAAATATTTCTCCGCTCTCTCTCTCTCTCTCTCTCTCTCTCTCTCTCTCTCTCTCTCTCTCTCTCTCTCTCTCTCACACACACACACACACACACACACAACACACACACACACACA